TGAGCAAGGTTGATCCAAACTGCCAGGTGGCTCAAAAGACAGTTCTAGTCATATAGATAAGGCCATATGAGCTGTGGGAGGAGGGCTGGAAGGTCACCTTGGCTCTTCTTAATTCCTTCCAAGAACTGTCTGATGCCTGTCTGTTGTCAGCAGCCTCTGGGAGACTTACAGGTTAGTACAATGTGATTCAAGAGGAATCCCAAGGAACTGCCCTAACACTTGCAGGAAGATGGATTCTCTATGCCCTCATGTTCCACTGTCACCCAGGATTTGTAGGAGAGCAGTTACCATGTGACTCAGTCTTTTATCCTCAGGCATGGGGGAAATTATAGCCCCCATATTGTGTGAAACAGGAGATAGTTTCAGCCTTCTGGATTGACAGCCTAGACAGACACAAAGGGGTGAAGGAAGGAGTGATAATTCACTCTCAAAGTTTGCTTAGTATGTGTAAGTCTTAAAACAAATGTATGGAGCCACAGGAACTGTGGTAGCTGCAAGCATGAACACCTGCTATCACTCAGTGAACATGTGACCTGTGTCCTGTCGCTTTGCCACAGGCATGGAAAATTTATCTCCTTTAATCTCAAAATACCCCTATCATTTTCATTTCACGGTTCATGAAATTAAGGTTCTGAGAGGTTAAGTAACCTAAACAATGTCTCATTTGTCAGTGATAGAAAGGGGATTTGAATATAATACAGCCTGGTCTGGAGGCAAATGCTTTAAACTTTGTTCACACTGCTTCTGTACCCTGACATGACAGTAAAGACCAAGCACTATCACCACTAGTGCAGTAGCTTCTATGACAGTGAGAATATCAACCCCAAGTCTTCCCTGGACTGTGTTGCTCAATAGATTTGTCGGATTTCCCCTTTCCTGCCTTATACTGTGAGATACTTAAATTGGCTTTAAGCTAAAAGCACTTGGGAACCAAACCTTTCTCTCCTTAAGATGGGTGCTGTGGCATGCCCTTGGGTGCTCTCCTATGCAGGAAAGTGACTCTCCACTCAGGGAAATCTAATACCTTTAGTAGAAATTAAGGAGGTTGATCAGGGAAGGAAGGTACATGCTTAGTTAATTTCTTGCTAAATGTTTAAAAGTTTCTAATTTTTCCTCTGCTCAGGTTGTGTCCCTGAGTAACTTTCTATTTTATAGAGCTTGGACATATGAGTTATCGGTCATAAACATTACTAGTTCATTAACCCCTCTTTCTACCTTTCTGAAAATAGCTTAAATGAAGGGATGATAGAGGCATAGGAGTACCATTAGGGTGGAGTACACTGATCACACTGATTTAACCTCTGTCTTTTGGTTATATTCACCTGTGACAAATCTAAACTAGAGTTGCTCTTTATGAGATGGCTGTCCATCAAGTCTCACTGTTCAAAGCACACACAGCTCATTTGGTGTGTGAAGGACTCAGAAATCCAAAAACATTGTGCTGTGTGGGGGAGGTTGGTTTGGTTAGGGCACCCTCAACAGGGAAAGTGAAGTTCTTGCTCTGAGTTTCATCACGATCTCTATCTGTGTGAGTAAACAGTCATGAGTGAGATACGATGCCTTGGCCCCAGTGTGTAGGTTCAGTTAAGAAGTTCTCAGCACACCTCTTCTGAGAATTACCATCACTGGGAAAAGGTTGTTCTCTGATTATTTGAAAATGTCAAACTCCTTAGAAGCAAGGAGTTAGAGAGAAAGTTTAGAAAGTATAGCAAAAAACTAGACAGGTTTTATACACACATATCTAATTTTAAAATAGAAAATAAAGATTCCTGTCTACACCTTTCTATATAAAATTGGAAACACAATCTTTTCTTTAGAAAAAAATCTATGGACCTTCAAAGCTTATTACATAAGAATACATTGTGTGGGACTCTGCAGCCTTTAAACATATCTATAGATTAATTTGGTATAGAGTGTAGGATGTACCTTAAATATTTACTGTGCTTGATATTCATGGGTATGTAGAAGAGTAGCATAAAAATGAACTTATGTCATACTTCTCTTTCCATTGTAGTTTAAAGAGAATTTTGGAATTCATTTTAAACTTATGTGGAGGGTGTGGGGCCATTCCAGCAGGGTCTCAAGCCTGATCCCATCTGTTGGAAGTACTGGCAATGAAATCCTCTCTCCTTTTTGGGAAATGCTCTGGATAAGAAGCTGTTTGAGCCTGGGTTATAAGCTGGTGGGAGTGGGAAGTATCCTCTGACCAGTCAACGTGGAAGAACAGAAGCTTATTGTTGCCTTCTTCCCAGGGGCCATCCCAGCTCCAGGCATTCCTGTGGTATTGCCAACAGCTCAGTTTCTCCCCATGACTAGTCATATTGATTCAGTCCTCCACCAATCATCACTCAGTACTGACCTTGGAATGTTACCTTTTCTTCCTAAGAGCAGTCCTCAATAGTCACCCTGTAAGTGTGTCCACAGTGATTTAATACACTTAGGACACCATGCAAATCTCTAGCTATATTCAGAGAGGGATATTCATCTTCGACATTTACACAAGCTTCACAGACAATTCTTTGTCAGGAGCTTCATTTAGACACATCTACTATGACAGAGTATATCCTAGGCATTGCTCTAAGCCCTGAAGATACATGGTTATGTAAAATAGAATTCTTCACTGCAAGGATCACACTGATGAAACACAAACACCACAGCAAATGAAAGCAGACAAAGAAGAACAGGCAAACTGAGCTGAAAATAGGACAATTCAGGGTAAAAAGCCATAGAAAGGTTTCATCTGTTTTGAGTGAAATTTTTCTTTTCTCCTTTCACATCCACATCTCAAAAAGAGCTCTCATTCTTACCTGTGGATTTATGTAGAATCCTGGTCTCAGCATCTTCTCTTCTTCTTCTACATCAGCCTCACACAAGCCTAAGGAGCAGCCACCTAACTTTTATTTTTGCCTTCAGTATTGCTTCTCACTCACTACTGTGGAGTCATGGATTCTCTGAATGGAGGTGAGTCAGTGTCTCACCAGTGTGTAGTCAATGGTTCTGTAAATGGAGGTGAGTGGGTTTCTCCCTAGTGTGGTGCCAGTGATTCTGTGAATGGAGGTGAGATGGGTTTCTGCTGGAATTCCAAATCGCACTAAACTTTCAATGTCCTAACTCTCTACCCTTCCATTTTCTTCCAACTTCCAAGCCTTATCTTTCTCTTGTCATCCAGGAATCTCAAGTGTCTGTACTAATCTACTGAAATTCTCACTGCCCTCTCGCTTTCAAAGTTAGCAGGGAATCAGAGCTCAGCTTCACAGCAGACCTCCCCTGACCTTTCTCTCCAGCATGGTGTCTTCCCCAGCCTGTTTAGTTTATCCACAGCACACATCACGTGTCCCTGCCTGCTCGTTATTTGCTTTATCTACAGTTTATCTAGTCTCACTGGATTACTTCCAAAGTATAAAACTGTCCAAGCACAGAAAAAAAATCTTGATTAGATATTTACTGAAGAAATTAACTCTTAAAAATTACAAAGGTAAATAGCTGAAACAAGCAGGCATGAATTACAGTTGAAGGACAAGGAAAGCGAAAGGGTTCACATCTAGGATGACTTCCATTTAAAGATCCTTAGCAATCAGAGCTGGAGGCTCTGGTGGGGAGGTAGACAGGTAGCTGTTATATACTAAGAAATATCTCCCTCCCCAATTTAGATGCTGAATTACAATTTTAAGTAGCTTAGAATGTGATGACATTTGGAAAATGAGGCCTTTAAAGAGGTGATTAATTTAAAATAAGGCTGTCTGCATGGGTAACAATCCAATCTGGCTTGTAAGAAAAAAGAAATGCAGAGACACAAAGAGACACCAAGAAGGATCCCATGAGCCCTGCAAGGACTCAGTAAGAAGGCAGCTGTCTGCAAGATACAGAGAGGCCTCAGGAGAAATCCAGCCTGCTGACAACTTTATCTTGAACTTCTAGCCTTCAAAAGTACAACAAAGGAAATTTCTGATTTTGAGGCCACCTACTCCCTAGTGTTTTGATACAGAATTTTGGATTTGTGTGTCAAGTCTCTGCTACTATGAAGTGGGGTAGAAATGAGATAAGTTGAGGCCTATGCTTTATGAAGACTGCACTGATTGCACAGAACACAGACTGGAAGACAGGAAGACTCCAGGACTCTGGGAAGCATGGCAGCTCTAGAATCAAGAGGAAGGGGTGCCAGAGATGGGCATATATCAGGAGTGACATCAGTCAGTACTGAGGAAATGTTCCAACACATGAATGGGATATTGACATCTGACACACAGTATGATTTAGTGAAAAGCAATGGTACAAAGAGTTCAGCAAATAAGACATAAATTTCAGTGGTCACATCATCTGTTAGAGTGTCAACATGGAATGTAATACGATACTACATATTGCAGTGTAATCAGCTGCTCCAGAGGAAAAGGCTACATGTTAAGAAGGGCCCTGTGAAGATAAAGATCCATCCCTACTGATTAGCACATCATTGAACCCAAGAAGTTTCATAAGGAAATCTCGGTAACTATCTATCTAAAACAAAAGTGAGCTTTACATTTCATTGATTATCATTATTTGAGAGGTACTTTCCTTCATTTCTGAGCTGTCATGTTTTTAGAAATTAACATTTTGGGACTGTTTCCTAATGCACTAATAAAGCTTCGACATAAGTAGAGAACCTTGGCCTAGGAAACTTCTAGTTCCCACAGAAACACTGCTCAACATTACTTTAACAAGCTAGAAGATTCAATAAAAATCAAAAACAAACAAAAAACAGAACAGAGGCAACACTTGATTCTTCCATAGTCTGATTGCTACCAGATCTATAAAATACATTAAAATCTAATGGGATTTCCTCTGATACTCTGAAAGAAAAAAATTTAAGGTGATTTCTGAGGAACTATGGTTCAAATGCAGAACCCTAAGCTTTTTTTGTTTTTGTTTTTTTGTTAGAACTCTGACTAGGGACTAGAGATCTCTAAGCCTTCATACATTCCCATCAGTTTTGTACCCAAGAGTATCCAAGTGCAGTGACTCACAGGCAATGCGCACGTATGCCTTTCGACTCTTCGTAGTGCCTGCTGAACTCCAGGCCACACACTGGCACCAATAATCATCAGGCCCAAACAGTTCCTCCACCTGCTGGCGTGAAATCTCAATGCTCACTTCTCTCACAATGAGACCTGACAAAAGAAACAAAGGTTCAAGTCAAGAGAAAACCTGCACTAATGAAACAGAATGCAGCCATCCCCCAACCCCCACGCAGCATTCCATTGATGCCATTGATCAACATATAGATACTGTCTCTCACCTATCACGTTCTGAGGTCTCCAGTTACTGTACTCCATACATGTATTCTTTTATTTGCTTTTTCATGTCTTCAATATTTATCTGAAGATGGAGGTGGAACGGTCTATAACCCCACAAAACAGTATGTCCTCCTATTTAATTCTGTAATAGTCATTTCTTACCAGGCAATGGTATCATCTTGGCTCTCCTGTTTTCTACAGATTCTATTTTATTATATATAGGTTGTGGCTAAGATGCCCAGATATTGGAAACAGCTTTTCACGAACGTTTTCCTAGTAATTCACACACATATACAAATAAATAAAATGAAAAAAAACCCAACCTAAACCTATAAAATCAATGATAATTTAACAACTACTTTAACAGATATGTTTAAAATATAACAATAAACCATTTTTATTGAAATAAATTATATCTTCAATTAACCAATAAAGTATGAGTTTGAAAAGATTTTTTTTCTGTATAATCATACAGAAGCTCACGTTCCCCTGTAATTGTAATGTAACTGAGATGCCAGTGAAGTGTCTTTAGCAACACTGTTGAAATAATTTCAATTTTTGTATCTAGACTAACAAAAATAGAACCGAGACTCTAGGATTACAATTTCAGTGGTATTTATTGGAGGCATTAAGGCGATTTCAGAGATTCATTCTACAGTGTGTCTCTATGCACTGACCCAGAGAGATTAACTGAGAGATATCTGTGGGCAACTGCCAGTGCACACAGAGATTGAGAGAGAGCAAGGGAGTTTGCTCTGAGCCAAGTATGGACACAGTGAGAATGATGGGATGAATTACTTCTGTTTACAAATTTTATATCCATCAACCTAATCACTGTCCATTGATCCTTTATCAAATATCAGTTATGTTAAATATACTATATTTGTCAGTTTGGACATCAGTGGTATCCCTGGGATGGGGATGTGGTTGCATTATGTTTCTTATACATAATACTTAAAAATTTGGATTTCTTTCTGAAAACCATGTGTAACATGGGGTGTTTTAAAGTAGATGCCTTGGACAGAAGACTATTGATATATATTTGAAATAAGCAACATCTGTACATTTGTGTGTGTGTGTGTGTCTGTGTGTGTGTGTTTAGAGCTTAATAGCCTACAAAGTGTTATGATGCATAAAAATATTTTTATCATAGGTGACAGGAAAAGATATGGCTTCTGGAGACCTGGAAAGGAAGACCCTAAGTATTTCTCTAACACCTAAGATGTATTCAAATCCTTTCAGAGATTTGAGAGAAATTCATAGGCACCCAGCAAAGACAGATGCTATCCCATTGAGGAATGAAAAGTATTTTCTACCAAGAACTTAGGGAGTTTGAGTCATAGGCCCTTAGATCTCCTGAAATCTGAATTACACTGAAGCCAAGGAAAGCATGTACCACCTATCCAGGGCAGGACAAGATCCTGAACAGACAACACCTTTGTCAGATGTTTATAATTTAATGGTATTTCAAAGCTTCAAGATTATTAATTCTTTTATATTTATGTAATAGCCAGCTTAAAAGGTAATCTCAGGTAAATGGCATAATCCAACCCTTCACAGGCCAGCTGTAAAAACGACACAAAGATTTTTATTCATCAATGTCCAACTAATACAACCATATTCAAAGCAAAAATCACTGCTTTTTTAAAAAATATTTCCTGGGTCTTCTTTGGGTTCCAGTTTTTCAACCTTGCTTCACTTTTTCTAATTAATATCTAGAAAGATTTGTCAAACAAGGAAACACATCTTTTTTTTCCCAAGCTCCACCTTCTTTTTCTCAGTACTTTCCAACAGTTAGTGCTTTTGCCTGCTTTCTTGCTAAAACATGCCCTCTGTATGTGGAAATCTAGTTAGTGGAAATAAAAATCTTCCTTTAAAGTTGTTGCAGGAAATTTAGTCACCAATGTCCTGATAAACCAGCAGTGTGTACTTACTTCTAACTATAATGGCTCTTTCTAAACTGCAGAACAGCAACAAATGGGCTACGGATATTAAAAACCACATACAAATATTTTGTGTCTTGAGATGATAACCTCAGGTTTCATTCCCCTCCCATTTACTTGAAGTAATTACTGGAAATCTAATTAAATGCTGGTAGAACTTTCCTGGGTTCAGTGTATTCTTAAGACTGAATAGGTTCATGAGTGTTTCTAGTAACCACAAATCTGAAACCTTTTAAGAAGCCACAGACCAACCCTCCTGCTACAGGAGCTATGCATAGTATGAATGTTCTGAATTATGTGACCCAGGCTTCCTGTGGGCACTGGAGTCCAGCACACATGGAGGGCTGTCTGCAGCTTCACAGACACCCCATTCAGGAGTGCATGAGCTAATTACAGTTGTGTACAGTTACTTGGCTGCATGGCCCACACCCTTTACATTCCAATATTTAGTCAATGGTAGAATAAGAAGGACCGTAGCATGAAGTATCTAAATCTTAGGACTCCAGGTTCCCTAAAATCTTCTTCATTACTTAGGCTCTCAAATGCATAGTTACATACAATATTTTTTTTCATTGCTGTAGGTAATTTTATCACCTGTGACATTTTGCTCATCAAACAAGAGCCTAGTGATTTCTATAAAAGTAAGTAATATCTTTTCTCTTTGAAAGCAGAATTTCAGATCTTCTTGAAGTCCTGAGATGCAAGAAACAAACCTTCTTGAAATGTGAAATGCTATCAGCATTACTTCAAGGAAGACTGCTTTGAAGAGTCTTTGGGAACTTGAAATAGGTTTCAGGTTATTTAGGGGGTTGGGGGAAGGCTATGGGATTTAAACAAATACAAATGAATAGTTTCCGTCACATCTGATAACATCAAAGACTTTCCATCACTTTCTTTAATAGTGGCATCGCAGAGATGCAGGCTGTTTGAAGTCTACAGTCATTAGTGTCTATAATAGGATTCATTGTGGTTTGAGAAGCAGAATGCAAGGAACTGATTAGCTTGTTATACCAAGTACACTTACAGTGAGTATGAGCGAGAACGTGGTAATGCCTGAGAGTTTCAAATGGATATGAGTGAGCTGCTTGTGAGACCCCACATAACTAAAACAATGAAACCTGCATATTATCATAGCTTGATCACAACAATATGTATCATTGATTTTAAAAACTGATGTTCCCACAGAAACCTGATATGCAGTCCAATCAAATGACTATATATTAAAAGTTCACTAAAGTCAGGTATTTTGTTAAGTAATATTAGTGAAAAGTTAGGATTAATATCACCCAGCCTGAAGTTGTTAATTTATTGTATGAAAGGTCTTCTTTATAGGTCAATTCTTAAAAGTTATACACCAATCTTTCACAACCATCCTGCAGATTTACGGATGGCTTGACATAAAACATAAACTAATAAATATAACCCAATATATAAATAGAATCAAAGACAGAAACCAAACAATATCATTAAATAGAGAAAAGGTCTTTGACAAAAATCTAACATCCCTTCATGATAAAATTTATGGACAGTCTAGGGATACATGGGATATATGTCAACATAATAAAAGTAATATGCAAAAGGCTCATAATTAACATTTTGATAAATGAAGAAACATTCAAAGCATTTCCACTAAAATCAGGAAGAGTATAAGGGTATCTACTACCTCAACTAATGTTCAATATAATCACTTGAGGTCTTGACTACAGTAATAAGACATAGAAAGCAGATAGCGATAACTCAAATAGAAAGGGAAGAAGTCAAAGTAGCCTTATTTGCAGATGATGAATTTCTATATATAAAATAACCTAAATATTCTACCAATCCTGACAACTCATAAACACATTCAGCAAAGTAGTAGGACACAAAATTAACACACAAACACCAGTAGGCTTTCTATATACCAACAGTAAACATGTATGTTTACTAGTAAAAAAAATCAGAGAAATAATACCATTCATGGTAGTCTCCACAAAATTAAAGTGCCATTCAGACTCCACTTCCTTATCTGTAGTAGTGTGATTGCCCATGAACACAACTAGTGGGTACTGAGGACACCTGGGAGCTCAATATCCTTAGGCTGCAGTGACCTTAGCAAGAGAACAGACCCTATAGAGGCATCTTCAGTGAGACAGCTCATTTTAATCAGGAGAACAAAGACTCCTTAAACCTTTGGGGGTTAGTAGGGCTATTGGGGTAAATGTATATTATTTGACTGATCCAGGCCATTGGGGGTGTGTTACTTGCATAAGGAGTAATTCCAGGTGATAAAGGACATGTTCCTATAAGGGGTAAGGAAGTTTAACCTGGCTACTGCGATATATGACCTTCTCAGGTGGGCAAAGGTCTTAGTGCACAGGGCTATGTGTGCTGGGTCATAGAGGTGCTGGGCAAGTGAAAACTGATCCTTCTCCTGCTGATCTCAGAGAGATATTTTGAGGGTTTGGATATGCCTTGACCCCATAGGCTCTGGGATTGTTCCCCAGGGCTCCCTGGGCACACATACTTGTATAGGGAGAACTTTAAGATAATTCTGAGATAAATTTGAGTGACTAACCAACCGAGTTCTGATTGGATTTAAAGTCCACTCCATGAGATGGAACCAATCCATGACACTGCTTCTCTGGCCTAGACGCTGAGACTAGATAGACCATAAACATACGGGGACTACTGATATTTTAAAGAAACATAGCAACAAAATGATCCTTAAAGACATAACTATAGATCAACATCTTCAACCACGCCCAGACATCATCAAAGAGGATTCCTCCTGTAGAAGATGGAAACAGATATAGCCACCCATAGTTAGACAGACAACATGCAGAGAGTTTGGGACCTTGGAGGACTCAGTCCTAAATGAGATATCTCTATCAGTTCCCTCCCCACACAGCTCATGGAATCCTGTGTAAGAAGAGAACGAACAATTTTAAGAGT